GAAGGCAGGAGCAGATGGCTGTGGGAAAGCACAAGAATGAAGAAACAGAACAGCAACTGGTAAGGCCCCCAGCCATCAGTGCTTTGGGGCTCCAAGAGCTCTCAAACCACAGAGGGCTCTGTGGGAACAACAGTGGAGAGGTTCCCTCCTGCAGGCCCTCCTTCCCACAGCTCCTCTGGAGCATCCTGAAACTCCCATCTGAACCCCCAAGCCTGCCATGAAAGAAGATGGGACCCAGGCAATATTTGGAACCTCTTCATTTATTTCCTCTGCTGAGAAAAACGTGGGTTTCCTCAGACAGCATTTCTTTAGGTATTCTATCTTGCAGCTATTACAAGTGTCTTTGGTCCTTCCATGAAACTGGGAGCACTATTCAATAACCTGATGCACCAGAGAAACATTAAACATGAAAGGGTATTTCAGCAAAGATTATGGCTTGGCTGCTGCTTTAAATGATCTCCAAACTTTCCCACATCTGAATGAACCACTGCTGTGAACCAAGCAGAAGATTTAGGAACTCTCTGCCAATTAGGGAAGCCTAGAGCAAGCTGATTCATACATCACTTGACCAATGCTGGGCCAGGAATGGAAGAGGTAATTGGCACCAACATCTTTCTTATGCTTAAAACCACAATTTCTTCAGTGTTACAACAAATTGCAAAAAAAAAAAAGTTTGTTTGACTGGAGCAAACATGGGGCTGCTACAAAAATAAAAAGGAACACATGTTTTTTTTTTTGAGCAGCATTTGTTAGGCTGGCACCACCTATATAGGATACTATTACAAGATTAAAGATATTCTGTGGTAAGTAACAAGCTAATCATACCCCCTTGATTAAAGTGCCCGCTGACCTTACAATTATCCCTGCACCTCTATAGGGCTTATCCTGCAGGAATCTTAAATTTGAATGCTAAAAAAAAAATAAAAATCAAACAAAAAAATACCTTAGTCTGCACGTCTCACTGAGAAAATAGAAATTTTAAAGTTTAAGTGCTACTATTTCTTACTTGCAGCACAATATCTACTAACTCACTGGACATTTTAATATAACTAAATATAATAATATAACTAAATATAGCTAGATAATGGAGACATGTATTTGACTCTATTTTACATATCACTGGGAAGTACGTATAAGTTCTCAGTAAAAAAAAGTATTACAACAAAGCAAGAAAAATTCACTTCTTTCAGAAAATGTCATAAAATGTCCCTCTTTTCCAGTCAGCTGAATTAATGTAATAAATTACAGTGAATCCACACAGTGGGTGTGAGCTTTCAGCTGAGGTTCCAAGCAGTTACATAAGAGAGTTTATAGTATTAGTAAACTTTCTCACTGCCAGGAGAAAACCCTCCTGGCAAATCTTTGAGACTATTAAATCTTAAGCTCCTAAAATCAGAGCTGTTGTGTGGGGTGGCACCTGCCACACACAACAGGGAAGGAGAAGAAACACCAAAACAATCCCCAAAACCCCGAAGGGTTTCTTTTGTTTCCCTTAATATAAAAAAAAATAAATCCTGGAATTAATGTGGGGAGCCAAAAATAAATGTTTTAGATATATTGTCTGTTAGTACCTAATCATTTTTGCTAACATTTTTGATTCTCTCAATGGTGGAGTGTTAAACAAATCTCAACCATATGTATACATGGAGGAAAAGTAAGAATCAATTTGATCTAATAATCATTTGCACTCTGAATTCTCTCTTTGCCACCAGCGAAACCCATCTCCTTGCCATCAGGAATTCCTTCAAGATTAAACTAAAAAGCCTTGACATTCCTGTACTTTCTGTGCCTGAATCAACAGGAGCCTGAAAATTAATCATTCCAAGTCATGTGTCACAATCTCCTAATTCAAAACCTTGTAATCTGTAGTTGAAAAGACAAAATCCTTCTTTTCACAGGAATTCACACCTTCTAATATGCCAGCCTTCCCTTACACAAAAGGAATGAAAAAGTCTCAAAAATCTCTCAGAAAGCTTTTTCCTCAAGATGTTTCCTCCTAGTATGACCTGATTCATCATCCAGATCCTTACAGGGAAAGGTTCACTAAGGAGAGGCTCGTTAGTAATTAATTAGTAATGCCATCTGTCATAAATAAAGACTAGATACCTGATCTTGAATGCAACCATTAAAGCAATAGATATTTATCATCCACAAATGCCATTGCAGGTACAAATGAGGAAAATTTGAACACACAGGCTGAAATCTTCAAATCAATTAAATAATCTGAAATTATTGTTTCAGACCTTGATGAATTTTAGCCAGAAAGAAAATGCATTACTTGGAGAATCTGGGCTTTAGCAATAAGGAGGAAGATGACTTGGGTGAAGAGGGTGAAGGGAGGATGTCAGGAGCAATAATGGAAGGATAAAGTCAGTGCAGGGAAGGAACTCCCTCTGCTGCTGATCCACCCTGCCATAGGCTCTGGATGCCTTAGGAAAAAGGGCTCCAGGAAAAGACCTTACCTGGGGGGGCACTGCCTTCCAACCAACTTCTCTCACACACTCAACCACCAAGGGCAGGAACACCACAATTATGCTCCTACAACCCCTGGCTGTATCCATTTAAATACTGAACACACCCTGTATCAATAAGCCTCCTGGACAGGAATTAAGAATCCTCTCCTATGCAGGGGCACAGGGATGGGATTTGCTGGAGAGTTCATCTTCTCACAGTTTGGTTGTGACATTCTTTATGCAAAATCCTAATTGTTTGGTCTTTAAATTATTTTGGTGAGAGCGCTTTTTTTCCTTTCCCTTGATTTAGCATCAACTTGTCCAAGCCCCTTCTCTGTTAACCAGAAACACCAGAAAAGTCAAATATAACTGCTAATCTATATAAGGAACTGCCAGCACGTTTGTTCCAGTACATTTGCAAAGGCAAAAGTCACGTTTTCCTCTCCACCTACAGCACTGCCAATTCACCCAACACTCCTGTGCTGCCACTATCTGAACATCTAGGAGAAGAATTCACTCAATCTTCTGGCTGCAGCAATAAGAGATTTAACAATTAATCCAATCAACTCAGAGATTTTTAATCCATCTCCAACAACATAGGAATATCATAGGATTCAAAAAAAAAATTAATCCTTGAAGCTGGAAGCACTGGTTTAACAACAGTGTGAAAATAAACCTCAACAATTTGTAACACTTGCACGTAAGACAATGCTGCAACATTGTTTGATTACGTTGCTGGGAGACTCCTGGAACATCAATCTTTATTCACCCACAGAAAACAAAATGTGAGCATTTGCTTGGTGAAACAAAGACAATTCCTTTGATGCTGCACACTCAGCAATTCCCACTTATGCATCAGCTCCAAGTGACAATTACAGAAAATAATTGTAAATAATTGTACAGAAAATAGTGGCATCACACTGGTCAGTAATTTCAGCTGAGGTGAAGAAATCCTCCTTTAAAAGAAACAATGCTCTGTTGAAGGTGACCAAGTACTGGATTCTCCCTTGAAGAGATAACTTTTTTAAAAATTTGGTTGAGTTTGGTATTTGCTGATTAATGTGTCTTTGCCAGACTTTCACAGTAGCTGTAATGGTGTCAGCAGAAAGGCAAAAATTCCTTGAAGAATTTAAATATTATCAAGGAAGCCAAGTACTAGAGGTAAATGCCCAGAAAGCATTAATTTCTGTTTCAGTTAAATCCCTGCATGAAGGAACCATGAAAGATCTGTAGGGACAAAGTTACTCCAAGATCTGACAAACCCTGGAAGGGGACACTTGAGAAAAAAGTTTTTTCCTTTCCAGCAAGGAAAGAAATATGGACATAGGATTTTGTCATTTGTCTTTTTTACTTAATCAATATACATTCCTTTGCAAAATAGACTTCAAATTACTATTCATGTATTAATATGTGGCTATTACTTTCTCAAATGCTAAGGGCATTTGGAACATTTTAGAAGTTCCACAGAAAATATTAATTTTTAACTCTCAAGAACTAGGATGAGATGGGGTAGATACTTGGACAACTCCAATTAGCAGCTACAATTCCTGACAATTTCAGAACATGGGCCTGCAAACCTTCCCTACAAACTTTAAGGAAGCCACCATTCAGCAGTGTGCACTGTTGAGGTTGTGTGTGCTATTTTTTCCAACAATTCACATTTTTCCCAAATCTCCCCCCTAAAAGGACACTGCTGACTGGCAAAATTCATGTTTTGCAGTACAGGGATAGTAGAATCAGAAATAACTAAGGATATTGTAATTCTCCATGAAAATTTTTACCATAAAATAGATTTTGCTCCTTCCATTCATGATGTAAGCCAGCAGCAAGTCAGCTGGTGCATTCAAGGACATCTCTGTCAGTTATCAGCAATAAACTCATTTACACAACAGTTAAGAAGATAATGACTTAGAAAAGCTTAAATCCCTGAGATGTTTCTCAATGAACTCCAGGTCCATGCCTGCTGTGGGGGCAGAGACAGTAAAAAGCTGCTGCCATCCATTCTGACACACCACTGGCTTCCACCAGGGCTTCAGAGTGAACCAGGCAGCCCACGAGGGTTGAACAAAACACAGCAAGAATTTACAAACTCATTAGGATAACTCTAAGGGAAAACAGGCTGAAGTAACATTGTTATGACCACAATATATTCACTCCTACTGCCACTGTGATAAATCTCTGATACTGACTTCAGAAACCATCCCAGACTGACTCTGGAAGAAGTACAAACAAACTCATCCTACAGTGATAAACCAGGGAACAACCAAGGCTCCCCATTCCCAGCTTTACAAGGGTACTGCAGGTATAGAGGTTCCCAAGGTTGGTTTTTATTCTTGTACTACAGGATTAAAACCTGCACAACGAGTCTTAAAAGCAGAATGAAAAGCAGCCATAAAAATATTGGAGAAAATCCAGTTTGAAGAGCCACAATTGTGGAACCACCTGGATTCAGTTATAGCTTCAATCAAGCTGTACCAACATTAAATTAAAAAAATACTCTTTTTAAAAAGCACATCCTGTAAGCAACTTCTAGTGCTTACTGCTTACCTCATTAAAGCTTAACTGATTCTATTGATGTTGAAGGTAAACTCCACCAAACTGCATTAATGGCAAACTGTGAACATTTCAGGAGTCCTGAGAGAGAAAACTGTGTCCACACAGGTCATCTGATTGTTCTGTCTGGCTTTGAAATAATACAAGAAAAGTTGACAGCTATCAATACCCAAAGGTAAGGCACACTGCCCCAATTCCCAAGCTCTAACTTAACACTGGTAACAGGTTCTGCAGCTGAATTAATTTGTTCTAGGACATGAAATAACAGCTGTGCCTAAAAACTTTATATCATTGAAAAAACCCAACCAAAACCTAACCAAACCACTTTCTACACCCACCAATTGATTAAAACACAAATTCTTTAGCAAGGTACTTTTTTTGTGGTTGGTTTTCTCAGTACAGCCAAGGAAGTCCAATCCGCCTTCATGGTTCACCCTCAATTTGTGTGCAATAAAAAACCCCCAACTCCTCAATTTAACTCCATCCCAGCTCATAAATGGTAAAATATCAACACATTAAGGTATCTAGTTGTCAGATACAAACTATGTTCACCCACTTTTACAACTAAAACATTCTAAAAATTAAAACAGTGGCTTTCTGAGAAGGGAAACATAACTTCTAATACTTCTAATAATCAGGTGGGCACACAATCAGCCTCAAGCCTGTAAGAATTAAATACAATTGGACTGCAACTGGATTTGCTGTATTTAAAAAAATCAGGTTATGGACACCTGCATTTCTTGCTACATTCTACACACTGTCCTGACATGTCTAAACTCTTTATAAAAGCCTATACAGTTGTAGTAATCACTGACAAATAAGCCTAGGATTTATCCAAAATTATCATACACCACTCTACCTTTCCCACTCAGCTTATCATATCAGTGTCAGAGATATTGCTGCAATTTAGATACTTCCAACTGGCAAAGTGTAGATCAAGAAATGCTGAACAATCTTTTACACTGAATCTTATGTTCAGTGTAAACAACAGAATTACCCAATTAAAATAAACTAGTCAGCAAAGTCTAGATTAGAAAAGGAGTGAGGATAGTGGAAAGGATTTCACTGAAATATATGCACCTACCTACTTTGAAAATTGTGAACTTGAGAAACTCTTGCTCAACCACCTTGCCCATGGCACTTCCTGTGTTTGAACTGAAAAAGTTCCCAAGTTGTCTGGAGCTGCAGCTCTGAACACGCCCAGAGGGATTTTAGTCCTGACAGAAATGAGCAACTCAGCAGCTACAGCACAACTGGGCTCAAACAAAGGGAGGCCAGGCACGCTGCTGCCCTGGACAACTCCGGGTTAGCTCTCAGCTACAGCAACTGCAGGCTTGAATGGAAAGGTTTCCATTCCTTGACATTCCCACCCACCCCTCTGCACAACAGCTGTCTTGATCTCAGGGAGAAACCACGGTACAGCAAACACCCAGAATGTTCAGATCTCCTTCATGCCAGTGAAGAGGATCACTCCTTCCTACCTGAAATACTGCTGTCACCCTGGAGGGGTAAGACAGGTCCAAACCTCTCTGTCTGTGCACTCATACCATTCCAGGGGCACTGGAACTGCCAGCTCAAGGATCCCATGAAATACATCCAGTTTTCTTCCCCTCCCAGTTGCATTGATGGTCAGGACTAAAGACTAATCTACAAGATGGCCACAGAGATTTGAAGGTCAGCAACCTTCTCCAGAGACTGCTCATCTCAGCATCTGTTATAATTTAACACTAAATTTGTATTCAAAGGGAAAAGAGCACTTGTTCTCAGTCAGAACAGAGCACTTACCTTCAAGAGCAGATCCTAAGAGGAAAGCTGCTTCCCACAGCTCTGAAGAGGTCTGAGGTTTCCCCAGTGCTCCTGTTGTCAGTACTTTCCCAGTGCCTAACCCTGGCAGATCATTACAAGCTGCAGGGTAAATGAAGCAGCATCAGGTGCTTTCCTGCTAAGTGCAACTGCCTTGGATCCTGCTCTGAACTCGCTCCCCCAGGCAAACTCTCAGACACTCACTCTTCTGGTTATTCAAATTACATCTAATAAAAGATATAAGTATAACAATTTAACATCTTCAATATCCTCACTGCACTGGAGTCACTTATTTTCTAATTCTCTGATTTATTAAATATACATACTATATAGGAAATGCATGATGGATGCAAAAAATTCTGTTGGAATGTCACTTCTGCATCACCTAAGCTTAGTTAAAGTTATAATGCTCAACTAAAATTTTCCATAGACAATATATGCTTTACTTTCATATCTCCTTTTTCTTTTAATTAAAGGAATATAGATATCTGGAGGTCCACTTTGAGCAATGCACCAATGCAGAACACACAGGATGAACAGTAAACTGTCCCCAGCCATATTATTTTATTTAGCCCAACTTCTAAGCAGTCAAGTGTTGCATTAACTTTGCCCTGAGTCCATGAACCACTACTAATCTGGCAATGAACTAAAAATAGAATGGCATTGAGTATAATTGACAATACTTTAGCATATATTTTTGAAATGCTTTCACATGAGTTATTTATTACAAAAAGTTGAATATCCAACAACTAATCCTTATTTACTGTACATTGACATACACACCATGAATGAGCTTAGGCCCCTCAGGTCATGGATCATATCACTGGATGCAATCCCAGATTTTAGGGTTCCAACCAAATCCATGTTCACCCTGCCTGAGGTTAAATGCACTGACTGGTGCAAGAGGCATGAGGCAACAAGTCATTAATCTCATGGAAATATTCCCTGGTGAACTTGTTTAAAAAAACCCACAAGAACACTTTGGATTATTGTGGATTCATGGATTTATTCATCTTCTCAACCTGGCTCAGCAGTTTCAACAATGCAGATGGATTATATGGGAAAAGATTTCTTCTCTGCAACCTAGAAATAGCCTCCTGCAGCTCTTCCAGACACTTTGTTGATTTGTAAAGCATTACTCTGAGGGGAGCAATGTTATCTGGAGATGCCATACGAGTCCAACAGGATGAGGCAGGAGATCCCTTCAGTTTTGGAGGCGACACTTCAGAGGTGCGTGAATTCCGGTCATCATCTCTGCAGCTGCAACCTGCTTGCCTCCTCCTCACCTCACCCTCATTGTTTGGAGGCAATTGCTTTGTGTTTACCAAACACTCTTTTCCATCTGATTCCACCTCCGAGTCCTCTGAGCTGTCATAATTAACCAGGCTTTGAAGAGGAGCGAGCAGGGACGCGCTATCAGTGCGGGTCAGTGAGTCAGACCGGCTCCACTCTGCAGCCCCATTATCACCCTGCCGTGCTGTAAACACCGGGCAATTGTGAGGAGCCCAAGCCATGGCACTCCGTGGCTCTGCTGCACAAACAGCACTCTGCCTGACAGAACAAACTGCGTGCAAAGCGCTGTGCCTGGAATCGAAATGGTCACAGACCTCCACAAAGTGAGGCCACTCCTTCCCAAGGAGCTTCAAGTACCTGACCAAGTACTCCAGAAAGCAAGTTTCTGATGAAATCAGAAAATCTAGAAGTACTGTGGAATCAAATGCAATCTTTTCCAGAAAAAATAAAAAGATACAGTGTGGGTTATATCCACCTGCGTGCACAAGGAACTGCCAGGATTCCTCCTCTTTGGGGCTTAGGTTATCAGCAACACCACGCCGGAACCTGAAAAGTAAGCCAGGAAATAATTTAGTGGAAGTTTACAATTTTTTTTTTTAAAGCAGCAATATCCAGATGAATTCTTGCTATTTTCTTTAATTTTGTGAAAATTAAGAACAAATAGAGAAGTTTTTTGTATCAGAGTGAGAAAGAATGAAGGCAGCTGGGACCAGGAGATGGGACAGCTCAGGAAGCCAAAGCATTTAAAGCAGGAAGAGCACTCCTTAGGAAACCTTCTGCAGTAAACAAAGATACTTACAACACATCAACTGTACTTTAATATAAATATGAAAATCTTATTTGAATATTTTTGTTAACCTGAATTCAGGCTAACTTTCAGAATGTTACACACACTGGAAGAGGAGCCTACTTGTAGTTAAGTGTCTAAGAATTGTGTGTGTCTAAGGTATTACTTGCATTATCTTGGGAAGCCTTGTATAAATCAGCATAATATCTTGTATGGTAATTTAAACAACAATGAAGCATTGTACATCCAGGACAAATCATGAAGAACAGTTCTCAGTTGTTAGCAAGAACCATTTTTATCAAGTAGCTGGAATTCCCATAGGGCCAATCCTTATCAACTCAGCCAGAAGTACCTGAATTATTGAAGTTTAATTCTAATATCCCATTCTTGTCAAACCTTCAGTGTTGTAAGGAAGCAATCTTGCTTTTTATCTGTAACCACTATTTTAGACATGAAGTCAATTATCCTGAATTACAGGATATGATAAATTATTTAGTAGGAAACTTGCACAACTCCTATCTCCATCCAAAAAATACTTAAATTATCAGCTCTTACACCACACATTATTACATCATCCTGAGGTTTGGGGGGCGGGGGGGGGTTAAATTATTAAAAAATAATTTTCCTTCCAACAAAAGCAACCAATGGGAATGTCCCAGTAACCTCACTGAAGTACAATTCTTCACAGCTCTGTCAGAAATAAAAAGATACACTGACCTATCAAGTTTTAAATAGATGAGCAATAAAGCTTTAGCAGCTTCCCACATGTCATCATCCTGCTCCATGAAAACCAAGGAGAGCCATTCACAGTGATGCCCAGCTGGGGAAGGCTTCCCATGACTCCTCCAGAACATCAGCACCTGGCTCATGGAGCCCTCAAAGTCTTCTGGAAAACAAAATTAATCATCAACTTTGCTATACATTTTTATTGCCAAACAACACACACTCTATTTTTTAAATTAACAGTGCATAACAGTTCATGAATGCAGTTCTCTCCTTAGCTCAACTGATTTATCACAGCATCAAATTTTATAGATTAGTTCTTGCTGTTTTAGCACAGTAGCTTACTCATAAAAATCACTTTGTGTTCATTAGACAGAGACTCTTTCCCTTAAGTCAAAAAACTTACACTTTCAATACTAATGAGATACTACAGAGCAGTTTTTGATGTTACATAGCACACACTCAATGTTTAGAAAACAGAAAATTTTTCTGCAACATTGAAATCAATTTTAGTTACTGTATCACTACGTGATTTTTCTTAATATTTGACTTTAGGATTTGTTTTTCCTCCCAGCATATAATAGGAACATCAAATTATCTTTGTTATTAATAGATACTCTTCAGACTGAAACTCTTCCCTATAAACCTGGAAATGATTCTCAAAATTGAAATTAATTAAAGTTAAGCCACTTTAATCCATGTTAATGAGAAGATCAAGCAGCTTCCCGGAAGGGAAATTAGCATATTAAAGCATTTAGGTGCTTGTTTTAAACACTTCCTGTAATTTCACTAAAATAAGGAAGTACCATTCTTTTCAGATTGAAATTCCTCTTGACAGTTGGGGTGTTTGAATCTAATTAAAAAACTCATTTTTATGTCATGAATCTGGAAAAGAAAGGAGAATGAGAAAGAATTTTCACAGAGATATCTAAAATGGATATAGCCTACATTTTTTCTTTTCACTTGCTGTTACACAGTCTCAGTCTCCATACATTTTTTCAGAAGGTGGATCACAAATAAAATATTCTTTACAAATACCTAAAAATCTTTAAGAATGCAACTGACATCACAAATATAACATCTTCCAAAAATCTGGAAAAAGTTTCACAAGCTGTCTTATGGAAGCTGTAACTCTTTCACATGGATGAATTAAAATTGATTTTAGGCTTGCTACCTAGTATAGAAATATAAAAAGTGAAATAATATTTATGTCTAGACCTTCTACTAAAATGCCTCAATGTATTTAAAGTGCTGTAAAATGTCACCCTTGTTTAAAAAGAAGCAGAAATTACTTTTGGCCACATCATCAGTAAATAGATTATTGTGCCAGCCCAGCCCTGGCACTGGAGCAGCTCTGCCCTTCTCCTGCCCAGCCCAGCCCCTCACTCAGCCAGCAGGGCAGGAATGCTCACACCTAACTGGAAGGGCCAGATGGGTCAGCCAGGGTGAAAAACAACACAACCATTTACATGGGGAGGATGTGGAGCTGCTGGAGCCAGTCCAGAGGAGGCCACAGAGATGCTCTGGGCCAGGCTGGGAGAGATGGGGGTGCTCACCTGGAGAACAGAAGGCTCCAGGGAGACCTCAGAGTCCCTTCCAGGGCCTAAAGGTGCTCCAAAAGAGCTGGAGAGGGACTTGGGACAAGGGCCTGGAAGGAGAGGACAAGGGGGAATGGCTTCCTACTGCCAGAGGGCAGGGTTAGATTGGATACCAGGAAGAAATTCTTCTGAGAGGCTGGTGAGGCCCTGGCACAGAGCCCAGAGAAGCTGTGGCTGCCCCATTCCTGAAGTGTCCAGGCCAGGTTGGACAGGGCCTGGAGCAAGCTGCGATAATGGAAAGTGTCCCTGCCCATGCAGGGCTTGGAACTGGATGATCTTTAAAGCCCCTCCTAACCCAAGCCATTCTGTGATTCTGTGTCCCACAATTTCCCTGTGCCTTACTTTGGAGCTTCATTGTTTTTATTTACCTGTCTATACCCCAGCTGGCTTTGCCTCATGGCATTACTTGGCTGACAGTAATGCCTTGTACCTTCAGTAAAATAAATACATAATGGTGCTTAAAGCTCTACCTCCACCTTAGAAAAGAGAAGAGTGTTACCTGCAGCTCCTCTCAGTTCCCCACCCTGAACTGAGCAGATGCTTGTGCTAGGGACTCTTCTTGTCCAGCTGAAGAAGAGCCTGGTGTTCTCAAGCTGGCTTAATGGTTTTAACAGGTAAAAATTTCAATCCCAAATGCAGCTGTTTCAAGCCCAACATATTGCAGGGCCAAGGATTTGATAAAATGCAAGGAGACAACTAATTAGGCAGGACACAGCAACAGCAGTTTCTTGGGTGGGTCTTCTCCTTCCTTCCTCCCACCACCACTAATTCAGCTGAAATCTATTTACAGTCTTAATGAGCTGTGACTACAAAATCTGAAGGCTCAAACTCTTGCTGCTTAATGAACAGAATTTAAATGGACTGTTACCTTTGATTTCTGCTTCTGTTGCAGAGTTGTGAATCTTGAATTCCAGTGCTTTAAGCACAACCAGACTTAAGGCTCTGAGAGCAGTTTGGTCAGAAGCACCTTGAGAATCATGGCCAGGAACAGTTTCACTGCTTCCAAAGTAGCTGGACTTCCCACTGAGTGGGATCTGATTAAGCCAAGTCAAATTCACAACCTGCAGAACAACATTACTCAGTGCAAGCATATCCTCACACCAAGATGGGCTTTGTAAGAACAGGGATCCACCTTTAACATCTTCTCTAGACTTGCAAAGGACACATTTTTTAAGGAGCAAAATGAATTTCTTCTTGATTACATAAGGAATCGATGAGCTAATAACATTGAGGACATAAGAAACTTTCAAAAATAAAATTCTCTGGCACCTGAATGGTATTTCCAGTTCAACTCTGGAAACCAAAAGTGCTTCGAGCAGATCTATAAAACTGATCAGATTGTTTGTAGCTTCAGAATAAGGTGAAGTGTAGTGGTGACTGTCAAAATGATGGAGCAGGATGGCATTATAAAATCCTTCAAGCACTGCATCAAGAGGAGCCAACAGCTTCTTCAAAGCACCTACGGCAACAAGAGGCACGTGATTGACCTGAAGTGTAACACATAAGTCAGTAAATAAGAAATTAATCTGTGGTAGTGTGCTGTTAAGTTTCTTGTGTTATTCCCCCAATTTATGTATTGTTCTCCCCTATTATGTGTAAAATGGTTTCGTTCCCCCTTCTTTCCCGCCACTGCTAGCCTGTCAGCTAAGTTGCTATAGCAACCGCTATTCATAGTTGCCGATATGTAATTGCTCCTCCCCTGGTTTCCCTTATAAGTGAAAGTTGTTTCCTCCCTGTCCAGTCAATCACTCCCTTCCCTTCTCCTTCACACAAGAAACTTAACAGCACACTACCACATTAATCGGTGTTGTGACTACTTTCAGAATATAAATATGTTCAAAGCACTACATTGGAACAGCACTTTGTCACCCCCCGTATAAGGGAGGGCAGGGTGTCCTGGAGCCGAACCATTGCCGAGGAACGCCGGGTGAGCGGCTCCTCCTGGCGGCCCCGCCGGTACCTGCTCGGGCTGCGGGCGCGTCCTTCCGCGTCTCCTTGAGAATCGCCGCCAGGGCCCACAGGCAGCCGGGCACCCCCGAGCCCCCCGGGAACCCCGGCAGCGCCGCCAGGCTGAAGCTCAGCCACGGCACGTTCACAGCGTCCTACGGAAAACAATAACAAACCCAGTCACGGATGCTGTCAGCTGACAATGAAATGAAATCATAATACAAATGACATGAAATCATAGTACAATGACTTCAAATTCTATATTAAAAAGGTTGAAATGTAGGCACAGACAAAACACAGGTAGAAACAACGTCTGTCCTGGGCCATTAATTAGGTCTTTAATTACAAACATGAAGCAACATATGCATGCAATAGAAATTATCTGTATGTTCCAAAAAGGGAAAACCAAACCTCCGAATGTCATGTGACCTACCCAAAATCAGATAATTCTGTAGACAGACCAGATCTGAACTCATAATTCCCAGACAACTTGGCGAGAAATATTACAAACATAATTATGAAATAAATCTGTGCTCAGGATGCTACTATGGAGACTGCAATACATATTCACTAAATATACAGCAAATTAAAAAAAAAACTCAAGTAATTGGGTTATTCAAGCAAGAGCATACACCAAGGCATTTTATTAACTTCCAGGAGGCTGTTATTTAGTTTTATCTACTGCATCACCCAACAGATACCAAGGAACTGTAAAATACTGATAGCCTAGATCATGGCTTTTTTAATAACTGTATTGCAACCTTAAAGAGATTCTTGTCATCTACACCCATTTTACCTTAAATGAGTTCCATAAAATTCCAGATTTTTATAGATTTTTTTATATATAAAAGACACTGTCTGTGTTACACACCAGATCTCCTGGCCTTCTATACTCCAGGCTTCTTCCAACACTGTTGACAAAGTTTCTCAGAAAATACAAACACTAGAAAAACTTGGCTGTAGAGTGAAATAGAACAATGTGCAGGCACAGGTTCACCAAGCCATTTTTTGAGCTGTGAAGTGATGCCACACTCACCTCTTCCTTCAGCTGGAAATACACAAGAGATGCCAAACTTTGTGAGGCCATGTGAGATAACAGCCGATCATCAGAACCCAGCAGGTGAATCTGGAGACAGGTAAAAAAGGTAAAAATATCTAAGGCATACCCCTCTTTATTTTCCTCCTTTCCGAAAGAAATCTTCCAGAATTTACCAATTTTGAGTCAATTTTTGCCTCCTTCAGAAGAAGAACAAAGATTTCACAGTACTTCTGTCTCGTGTGGAGCTCAATCTCCTGGGACTCTGCTTTGGCCACCATCATTTTGATCAGGGTGAGCTGGAGCAGCGTCACCTCCCGGGGGCAGAACGAGGAGCTCATGTTTGCAAAGCTCCTGGATAAATCATCTGTTGCAGGGACAACATGTGACATATCAGAGTCCTGATGGCTCCCAGTGCCACCAGCAGTCGGTGGCAGATGCTGCTGGTGACAGGATCCATCTCCTCCTGGTGGCTGCTCAACACACAGATTCATTAAAGAGGAATAATGACGGCTTTCCCTTGCTAGGGGGATGCCTGCCAGGACATCCTTATACATCTGCTGCAGGAGAGAGATCTTCATGATGAGATCATGCAATATTCCACAAAATCCTGTGTGGCTTCACTGATTGCTCACTGAAAATCAGCTTCCAGGTCACTTTAATCCAGTCACAGAAACAGGAGCACCACTGGGCATTTCTCTTCTAAGTCACCTATAAATAAAACATTCTGCTGTTACTTTGCAAGCAACTGCAAAATATAAAGGAACAACAAATTTTCAGAGTTAATGCTACCATTATTAAACTTGTTTTGAAAATGCAAATTCAGCTGCACAAAACTGTCTCAGTGAGACATTAAAATGAAGAATTCCCATGCTGGGAAGAAGTTCACAGCTCCAGTATTATATGACCAAAGTTCATTTGCTGGAATTAACAAACCCAAAGATGATTGTTATTAGGGGCTACTTCCAAAGATATGAGAACTTGGACTACATTGCTAAAACTGCTAGAACCTAAACTCTTTTGTGACAGATGCCTTCAAAAACAGGCATCAAATTTCAGCTGCAAATTTTCCTCTGAGCTGGCAATGTTCATTGCTCCACTGAGGCTGGAACTGAAAACAGCTCCCAAAAAAATGGAAGCCAAAGGGAGGACAAGTCTTGACTTCTGCTGCACACAGGCTCAAGGTGGGCTGACCTCCAGGGCACACCCACAAAGAAGCTGAAAATTAAAGAATAATTTAAAAACAGAGCGCAAAATTTATTAAGAGCCAATAAAAACACTTAAACATATTCAGGAAAGGTAAAAAAAAAGCCAGTCTTTATCCCCCTGTCAATGGAAGACATCCTTCAATTACAGCACTGAAGATTTGCTACAGCTTAAAATGAAGAGTTACTAAGAATTCAAATCTCTGCATCAAGTGTGAGCACCTGAGCCCTCACAATTTTCTGTGTAGTATGTAAATGGCCAAACAGATACCCCATCTGCTCAGGGAAAAAAAAAATCAACAACAAACCCTTAAAAATACCAGGGTTTCTTTTTCACCTACATTCAGAGTGATGCTCATCTGTAATATTTACCTTCTTAGAGCAGTTTTAACATGCTCTTTTAATTAAAATCAACAAACTCATTACCTGTATCTATGGCGAAGTTAGGAGTGGAACTCAAGTTGATTATAGGAATTTTCATACTTTGTTCATACTTTGCATACTTTTTTGATCCCCATCTCTAAGTCTGCCATAATCAACCAGGTAGAATTGCAGGCAGAATTCCTGCAGCCATCCACCTGTAGTTGGCTTTTACTTAAGTACTGCAATTCCTCTTTCTTACCAAAAGAGGAAAACAGTTCAGTCTTCCAACCAGCAAGAAATTCTAAGTTTTACCTGCATTTGTCATCAGACCAAATATTTTAAGTTACTAGTTCTTCTTAGCAGAATATTAAAAAAGAATGAAATTGTAAAAGTCAGTATATGAGGCATTTCTGTTCTAGCTTATAATCTTGACAAGTTTTAAAAGCAACATCAAACATTGGAAATTACACCTTCATTTTTACAAACCTGATTTTTTCCTTGCAACTGAAGCCTGGATTGACAAAATGGCTTCCCAAAGGCACAAAGGATCAGAGGTAGCCCAAGATGTGCCATCCTGACTCATCACTTCTCCCACCATCAGGAAGCATTTCCTTCAGAAAAGAAACTAAAATGTGAGAGCATGAAGATGCCTGCAGGAGTAATCTACAATTCCCTCTGGTGTGATATTTTTAAAGACACATTCAGCAAGGGCTGACCTGGAAACTCCAAAATGTTACAGCATGTTCCTCACCTGATAAAAGCAAGAACCCTTCCCCCATCCTTTCCCATACTCCACATTTTGCTGGATGTTAAGAATAAATCTGGTATTTCAGGCAATAAATTCCCTCTTCATTTGCAGAATCTTTTCAGAATTCTACTTGAGGTGGAAATTTATGACCTGAAACCTCACAAAACTCCTCCAGAAATCACTCTGAATATTTTATATAGCTATTGTTCCCATCCTTGAGCTTGATTTCTTCCTAAATGAATACTTAATAAAGTCAAATCATCTTAGCACATTTACTCCTGTTTTGGAGATCAGCTGGAATTATCACCTCACGTGGTGGATGAAGAGATCTCATGCACAAATTCACACAATTCAGCAGGGTGGTTAAGGCAGAAGGGAGTCAGAACTTTTCTAGGACACTCCACTGTGGGATTCCACCTCCACCACACGGTGCAGGCTGTGCCTCCCTGCATCCTCCCAGAACACATTTGTGTCCCACCATTAATCTGCAAACTTTACAAAGGCATCTCTAAGATATGCCTCACTCACACATGACAACAGCGCACAAACGTAAGCCATTGAAGGAAATGAAAAGTGAGGGGGCTTATTTTGAAGGCATTTACTTCAAAGAGGGAGAAAATATCAGACAAGGACTAAATTTGTTTCAGACACAGCATGAGAGTGAAAAGCTCAAAGCTGAAGAGCAAAGAAAAGCAGTGACAAACTCCAACCCTTATTTGTATTATTTATCTGAGTTACTCACGACAGCATCTAAAAACCAATTAAGGCAACGCCTCACAGAGCCAGACTCCTGCATAAAGAGGAGCAGTTCTAAAAACCTGATATAGAGACTGATCACATAAAAGACAGAAAGGAAAACTACCTAGAACATAAGAAACAAACAAAAAAAGGGGGTTTGTATGTTACTTTCATCATTAATAATGCTTTAAAATCAAAACCAAAGTCAAGTGGAACTGCAAACAGAATGAGGGAAGAAACTTATGCCTCTTCACTTGTATCTCTGAGTTATTGTGTGTCAATATAAACCATTTGTGTTAGTAAAAGAAAAAAAAAAAAAAGGACAATGTGCTATCCACAATGTTAGTTCAGTCAAATTAGTCAGGAATTGTTCCCTGTGAGGGTGGGCAGGCCCTGGCACAGGTGCCCAGAGCAGCTGGGGCTGCCCCTGGATCCTGGCAGTGCCCAAGGCCAGGCTGGACAGGGCTGGAGTAACCCGGGACAGTGCAAGGTGTCCCTGCCATGGCAGGGGATGGAACGAGATGACCTTAAAGGCCCTTTATTCTAGAAAAAACTACCCAAAACCCCATCCTAGTGTCATTATAAAATTGTATCAGATAAAGCTAAATGAAACCTGAGCCCATGACTTTTGGGTATGAATCTGAAGCCTCTGGATCTGTTTATAATCACAGCATTTAAGGAATAAAATACACTTTGGACTCCTTGTACCCGCAATGATTTCGTAGGCTCATCTCGCAATAAATAAGCTTCTGCTCAGTGCTGAAATACTGTAAACGCCTCTAAATTCGTGTCATTTCCTTCCAGACTTTGCAAACAAGCTGAGCAGCGCAATCCCTGTTCACTG